TTTACCATGCAAGCATCTTCTGTCCCTTTGCTTGGTATAGTTGAGTTCTGAAGATCATATCCTCTTGTTCCTCAGCCTGCAAAACATGGCTTACTCCCTGATATTCATCTCACTACTACTATCTGAAAGCGCTTGTTCCTCTGATCATGGGCACTGAAAATCTCTACAGTTTAAGAATTCTTGGAGAACCAGCATCTTTAATAACAAAGCGACATTTCAAATGACCTTAAAATGTGTTTGAAATAGTAATAAAAGCTTTAGCTGATGAGTCAGTGGTAGAAAATGCACCACAAGCAATGTAAGTTATGCAATTTTCAGTGTTCAAGAGCAAAAATTAATGAGAAGCAGCAATAAAATGGTGTGATGGATCCTAAAACCTTCATTTTCAAGACTCCAGACAGTTTGGAACAGAAGTTTCTCATTTTTCTGAGTTTATGTTTGATGTGAACTTCGAGAATATTTCTGGTCTTAAGTTTGAGTTGTCCCAGGGGTTTGGATTTTTCAAATAAATTACATGAAAATACACAATTTTAGGTATGCTCCTGATTCATGTATTTTTCCATGCAAGGTTCCAAGTGTAGACATATTTTGAAGAATATTTCCTATTAAATTCAGTATATTCATTTTTGTGTGAATTTTCTCTTGATATATATTCTTGCCTCTGAATTTCTGGGTTTGATATTTACAGACTTCAGTATTCATGAATTTGATTAAAATGTGAACTCTAGGAATCTCTAGGTTTTTCATTGTGATTCCAAATCATCTGAAAGACCTAGAGATGATTAAAGAGCTATACCTTTGGGTTTAAAGGAGGTATTTTTTTTTTAGTCTTTCCACACTTTTTGCTGTGGGTCCTGCATTCCCAACCCTAACAAAAATGGAAGGCTGTCTGAAAAAAATGGAATGAAAAACTCCACTACAAGGTTTCTACAAGTTTGAATTTCAAAAAAATAATTGAATTTGATTCATATATAGAATCTAGATTATAATGTGAACTGAATTCTAAAAGCCCAATGAAACTACAAAGGGAAGTGCCTCGTGAAATAATGGGCAATTTGGATGTCCCTGAACAGACTCAGAAGTGGAGTGGGCAGATCAAAAGACAACCTGGCAAAATGGCACTACCTAGAACAGTGGTTCCCAACCTTTTTTTGACCAGGGACCACTTTCACCAGGGATCACTTTGACTAGGGACCACTTGACCAGGGACTACTTGAACAGGGACCACTTTGACCAGGGAACACTCCCCAACATTAGTACCAAAAAGGTTACAAATCACTTTGGGTTGCTGATTCAGAAAATTGCATTGGATAGACCACATTAGCTCAAGTTTCTGATACAGAGCATATGCCATCCAGTAGTCGCTATCTGCTCACCCACAGAAAGCCATATTTAATGATCTACAGTTGATGTGGTTTTGAGGCAGTGGTGTAGAAATGGTGGGGCCACAGTGTGAATCATATTTTTGTTCTTGTGGACCATTAGTTGTCCATGAACCACAGGCTGAGAACCACTGACCTAGAAAAATCCTCCATCATATATTGTCAAAGGCTTTCGTGGCTGGAATCACTGGGTTGTTGTAGGTTTTTTCGGGTTATRTGGCCATGTTCTAGAGGCATTCTCTCCTGACGTTTCTCCTCTGAGGATGCTTGCCATAGATGCAAGCGAAACGTCAGGAGAGAATGCCTCTAGAACATGGCCATATAGACCAAAAAAACCTACAACAACCCATCCTCCATCTTGTTCGAYTGTGGGGCAGAACAAACAACTCCACATCTGTATGCTTGCCCACAATGCCYTGCCTCATGTACAGAGGAAGAATTGTTTAAAGCAGTAGTTTCCAACCTTTATTTGACCAGGAACCACTTTKATCAGGGACCACTTGACCAGGGACCACTCACCAACATTAGTACCAAAAGGGTTACGAATCAGTTTTTGGTCAACTTTAGATTCGGTTTGGGGTGAAGATTCAGAAAATTGCACTGGATAGACCGCATCAGCTCTAGTTTCTGATACCAAACATGTGCCATGGTCAGCAACAGGGAAGGAGTGGCAGATGGTGCAAAAGGAGTGGTAATAAAATAAAATAAAATAAAATAAAGAGGAAGGAGCCACGTGGACCAGATTTTCATCCTTGCGGCCCACTGGTGATCCACGGCCCACAGGTTAAGAACCACTGGTTTAAAGCTACAGACAATGCAATCGCTGTTGCCCATTTTTGGTCTACAATTATTTAGCCACTTATGCTTCTTCTATTTTTATCAGTTTTATACTTATTTATGCAATGTTTTTGCCACGAAATAAAAATAAATGAAATAATACACATTTCCAAGAAGAAATGTGAGATGTTTAACACATCTTTACACATCCAGCCTTACAATCCACCTCAGCTAGCAAACATTTAATCATTCATCTCATTAATATTTAATGTACTCTCTGCTCCTTCCCTCCTAAATCTTTCTATTGCCAACATTCAAAATTATCATTTTTGAAAATCATGTACCATAAGCCTGGAGCTTTTTACTTCAAGGCAGGCATCAAGCTTTACATTTCTCTTACAGGAAGTCAAGCTCTGTTTGCTGGATTAGTCGGTGACAGTTCTCAGACTTTACTGTGTTATTAAGAGGGCACATCGGTGTCATTCTAAACACCATAATCTCTGTGGTCACAGTTCGTCAAAAGTGAAATTACGCACTAGATTCCAAAACAAAACTCGATGATGCTTAGACTATGTTGAGCAGCTTAAGCCTGGGTGGTTCGCTAGTACTGTTAACAACCCTTTTGCTGGGTCATACACTGTGTTGGGCTGTAGTTAATTTTCAGTAGGTATTCATTTAAATGCCAGCATTGGTGGGTTATTGTCCATCACAAAGTTTTAGTAAAAAAATGGCATAAAAACCATTTTAAGTCTATGAAAAATTGGTTCAGATTAAAGCTTTGGAAATCCTCTTCCAATCTTGAGCTTTATGGATTTGTTTTTTAGGTCCTCCTAATGGAAAAGCCACAGTAGGTAATCTGATGATTAGCCCTGAAGTGAACTTCAAATTGAAAACACCAGTAGCGCTTAACACTCCTCTGCAAGCTGTCATCAAGTACATGACAAATAGGGCAGCAACTCACAAGCTTTCCTGTAACGAGCTTCCTCTCGCTGAAAAGATCTTGAGGAGGAAATTGGGGAAATAAACTAGGTTTGTAATAACATGATGCCTCTCTCATTTGTGATCTTAAACTGTAACTCTGCACAAGGCCAAATCGCTTGCCATTCTTGGCTTAGGGATATCTATAAGTGACTCTGTGCTTCTGTTTTCTTAACTGAAGAATGGCACGCAAGTGGACATGGATCCTCATCGATTCCAATGTTTCTCGACCTTCCTAATATCGCGACTCCTTAATACAGTTCCTCATGTTGTAGTGACCCCCAACCATTAAATTATTTTCGTTGCTACTTCACAACTGTAATTTTGCTACTGCTATGATTCACAATGTAAATATCTGATATGCAGGATGTATTTTCATTGACTGGACCAAATTTGGCACAAATACCCGATGCGCCCAAATATGAATACTGGTGGAGTTGAGGGGATTGATTTTGTCATTTGGGAGCTGTAGTTGCTGGAATTTATAGTTCACCTAAAATCAATGAACTCCACCAACAATGGAGTTGAACCAAACTTGGCATGCAGAACTCCCATGACCAACAGAAAATACTGGAAGGGTTTGGTGGGCATTGACCTTGAGTTTTGGTGCTGTAGTTCACCTACGTCCAGAGGGCACTGTGGACATAATGATGGATCTGGACCAAACTTGACACGAATACTCAATATGCCCAAATGTGAACATTGGTGGTGTTTGGGGAAATAGACCTTGACAGTTGGGAGTTGTAGTTGCTGGGATTTATAGTTCACCTACAATCAAAGAGCATTCTGAACCCCCACCAACAATAGAAGTGGTTCAAACTTCCCACACAGAACCCCCATGACCAACAGAAAATACTGTGTTTTCTGAGGGTCTTTGGCAGCCCCTCTGACCACACTCATAACCCCCCCCCCCCGGGCTCCCGACCCCCAGATTGAGAAACGCTGATCTACTCCTTCCAGCTTGAAAAAGTTTGCTGATATTGTTCACCATTTACTAGTTACATAGTCTTAACTAGTTTGTTTCCCCAGCTAGCAGTCATTTCGGGCAAAGGAAGCATATTCAGTTGGCAGTTGGGGCACAAATATCACTCTAGGTCAAAATGAACAGGTTCAAAAGCTTCAAGGATAGATCAAAATTGCCAAATGTTTCTTGGATCATGAGTAAGTTTATTTTAGGCTCAGAGAAAAGCAAGAAGGAAAAAAAAACCCAGAACACATGCATGTGGGCACCAGCCTATCTTGTATAGGGAGGGATCAATTGCATGTTTTAGAACAATGTTTTATAGTTCACCTTACTTGCTAGCATCATCATTGCATGACCCTCCTAGCCAATGTTGGTCAGGAGGGCATGGCTTTTGCTTGATCACACCATTTCCTGTTCTCTAAATATGGGCATGGGGGCATTTCAGGCAAAAAGCATCTATCAATCATGCACTGGGCACTATTTGGGCTATCCAATCATAAAGCAAGGAGAGAGGGGCAGAAGCTTCTGCGTTCTTCACCTAACTCAGCAATTTCTGCACAATGGTGTTTATTTTTATTTTAAAAATGTTCAAATTCTGTCTCACACAAGGAGGAGATGGAGTTCCTATTAGTGAACAAGGTTGTAATAAGAAATTGATGTAATGGGTCTTGTGTGATCTCTGCTTTTAAATTCAGTTTTATATGGCTTTAATGCTATAGTACAGTATCATTTTAATCTTAACTTTTTGTATATTTTTTGCTATATTGCGTTACTTTATTTGTACATATTTTTATTCTGTAAGCCATCTTGAGTCGCATGTTGGGGAAGAAAATGGGATATAAATAAAGTGATTGGTTGATGGATTGTTTACATGTAACCTTTTATTTTTCCCTTTGCAGACAAAGAAAGGGGAGCAAGAAAGAGCAGGCATGGCACTGTCTTCCTGGTTTGGGTGGAATGAACCCACCAGTCGCATTTCCCAGCGAAGCCCTACAGAGATGGTGGTGGAGACCCTGATGATGGAGTTTGGCTGGCAAATCAAGGAAGCGGAGAAGCAGCAGAGGGAGCGAGAAAATGAGTATCGTAAGATAAAAACTGGTGTTGACTATGGCTGGCTGGTTAGCTACCCAAAACACAGCTACGATGTCAGTCCAGGGGAGCGCTTGCAGCTAGAAGATATGTGCTCCAAAATACACCCTTCCTACTGTGGTCCTGTGATTATCAGGTATGATTACAATTACAACCTATATCTGTGTTAGTCTGGAATATTAGTATGCAAAGGAATGTTGTAACATTTTAGAGATTAAGTCTACTCCCTTAGATGCATCTGATTCTTTCAATTTGCAAAATAATGTGGACTCACTACTCAGCTGCTGTGGGTAGTCCATGAAATGCACAACTGGACTTGCAGCAGATCTGCTGCATCCAGCTGTTAATGCAGGTCAACCAAACACAGGATTTACTCTGGAATTTCCAAGGAGCTCTGGAGTTTTGAAAGTGTGGACAGGTGAGCTGTTTCGAGCCTGATCTATTGCGTGCATCATCAGTGGACCCACTGATGTGTTGCCACCAACAAGCTACTTTCTCCCCAAGGCTTGTTAGCAATTTTGAATGTCTGATGATGTGACACCAGTGCACTGGAAATGTTGTCATCAAGTTTCTAGGTGGGAGCGGCTTGTTTATTTTATTTATTATTTATTTCCAACATTTGTACCCCGTCCTTCTCAATCCCCGAAGGGGGACTCGGGGCAGCTTACAATGGCAACAATTCGATGCCAACACATACAGAATACATACACAATATATCACAACATTACACATTAAATATATCCATTATGTTAAAATGCATTTTAAAACATTGTTGCCAGTGATGTGGTGGCAGCCTTGATGCGCTGTTGGCCTGCTGGTCGAGTGGATGGCCGAAGAATTCCAAGGGTATATAAGGAAACCGCAAATTCAGTTTGAAGTATAGATATAAAGTTGAAGCGTTAGTGATTTCACCTTCCCAGGTGTGAACTATGTGGTGGAATGAAAATCACGCGTAGTTCATATCTTTACCAGTCCACACACTGTCTTGCTAGAGAAAAGATGTTCAGCAAAGAATAAGGTGTTTACTATTTGTTATGCAGAGCAACATATATACAGTCATGTGAACAGTTGCGTTGACTCACACAGCGTCCTTTGAGAGAGATTCAAATGTTCCTTGGGTGACTATGTGAAGGATCTTCTTCCAGCAGCTCTGAAGCAGAAAAAATACTAACTTGTCTTGGCAAGCTCCTGCACAGAAAACCTAAACATGTAACTATTGCCAAAACTCCCAGGCTCGGCTAGCATCCCAGGCGTAGCCCAACCAACTACGCTTCGTGCTTTGCATTTTTCAGTTAACACACTCACCAACTGATTTTACATGCTCCAACAAACTATGTGTTTGTTTTTTTCTCTCAGATTTCGTCAGCTTGTTGCTGAATATGAGCCAGAAGCCCCAGAAGTATCTCGGCTCTTCCGTTCTGTTCTTCAGGACGCCATGGAGAAGAGCAAAGAGGAGGAAGAGGCAAAGAAGCTGGCAAGGCAGTGGAACACAAAGCACAAAACAAGCATCTCCCTTTCAACTTTCAAGTCCCGAACCAGGATTTCACCCTTCAGCAGTGATATCAAGACTATTTCAGAAGATGTTGAGAGAGGCACTGATCCAGCCAGGAGAGTATGGAGCATGCCTGAATTCAGGAGTACCAAGGACTATTGACTTTATTTATAACAACCAGATTTTAGAAACAGACCATTTCATGCATTAATTAATTTACTTATTTATTCACCCTTTTAAATGTTTTTTCCTCCATCCTTTTTTGGGTGTTCTTTCTTGCCTCTCTTTTGTTTTGAATCCACATGAACACATTTTTGACATCTTTTCTGTACATTTCAGTGCTTGTTTGTGTTTTTCCTTCTGTGTGTGTACATAGCAAACTTTTCATACAAGATCGACCTCTAGTACCACAGGTGGCCACCTGTGTGGTATGCTGTGTGAAAAACTATGTAAAGGTTAGTCTGTCCTCTATAGATTGAAAGAGAAGCCCAGAAAGTAATTGTATCAATCAGCTCTGTGTTTCTGTTCCAACCAACTTCCAGGTGTTTCTTCTACCGTAACTACAATGAATGCATGTGCTCCATGGAACAGGTTGGCAAAAATACACTGTGAGCAGCCCCAATGCTTTACAGCCTGAAATGGCCCCAAATGGTCATGGAAGTCAATTTTGATCCATTCCCCCAAAATCATTTTTTTTTCAAACAAGAACTGACCCAATAGCTGACTTCTGGGTCACTTTGTGTTGGAATAGAGGCATCTCCTGGGCCAAAAATCTGGTGAAATCTCTACACCTCCCCTCAAGGGTTCTTGAAACATTGCCCTAAATTTTTGGTACCCAAATATTTCAATTTCTTTTTAAAATTGAGTGTGTGGTTGGTGTGTCTGGCCCTCTCAGGTGTTGGGGAGTAAGTCAGATGTGAAACCCTAACAATGTTTTAAATCAACCACCCTATTCAGCTCCAGCATGCCTTCAAGTTGTTTATAGCTTACGCCAATCCTAAAACAAACCTATCATGGCTTTTTTGGGCAAGATTTCTTTGCCTTTGCCTTCCTGAGAGGCTGTATGGCTTGTTTCAGATCAGCCAGTAGGTTTTCATGACTGAGTGAGGGTTCAGCTCCTGGTCACCAGAGTCGTAGCTCAACCCATGCTGGCTCTGTAGCAGCATATCTAGGGATTCACTCACGAGAAATTGCCATGCTGTGACTATATTCTTTATTCTGACAGCCAGCCAAAGCATTGTCACATTTACTCCTGCACAGAAGTGATGTTACTTAACAAGATAGCAACTTCCGGTGTGGTGTGCATGGAGGCTGGCTGAGCACTCTGAGAGCTCTCCGAGTGCCAGTTCCTTTTGGCGATCGAGTAGAGCGATAGCTGCTTCCTTGAGTATGGATCGATGTTCGAAGGATAGCTGAACCCACAGGCTATCAAACCAACGGTCAAGTGAGGCATTTCCCCTCAAGGGAGATGTCTCTGAGGCCCAGATGAGGTGTCATAGGATAGAGCTGATAGCTCTGTAGTAGCATATCTAAGGATTCACACACAAGAAATTACCATGATGTGACTATACTCTTAATTCTGACAGCTATTTCACATTTATTTCTGCACAGAAGTTATGTTGGTTAACAAAATAGCAACTTCTGGTGTGGGGTACATGGAGGCTGGCTGGACACTCCGAGAGCTGTCTGAGTGCCAGTCCCTTTTGGTGATTGAGTAGAGTGATAGCAACTTCCTTGAGGACTGATCAATGTCCGAAGGATAGCTGAACCCACAGGATACCAAACGGATGGTCAAGTGTGGCATTTCCCCTCAAGGGAGACGTCTCCGAGAGCCAGCTGAGTTGTCATAGGGTAGAGCTGATTGCTCATATCTAGGGATTCACATACAAGAAATTGCCATGCTGTGATTATATTCTTTATTTTGACAGCCAGCCAAGGCATTGTCACATTTACTCCTGCACAGAAGTGATGTTGCCTAACAAGATAACAACTGAAGCAGCTAGCATTACAAGATCCCTTGTTCGTCAGCATATATAAAGTGGGACCACTTTAACCTCATGGCATACTGGGGAATTTTTGACCATCCAGATGTTTTGAACTTCAGCTTTCAGAAGCCCAACGAGCATAGATAAGGCATTTTGGACATTGGCCCGAAACACTAAACATGTGAAAGCTTTGCCTCTAAAAGGGGAAAGCCGAAATTTGTTGGCTCAAATGTGTGTTGACAGAAAAGGGGAATGACAATATTTTCGTGGAAGCTAGTCTGATTTATATTTTGCTCTCTGGGGCACTTATTCGTTCCTGTAAAGTAGTTAGATGAACCTTATGAGCTGCTTCTAAGGGCAGTTGAGGTGGCTACCAATCTTAGGTAGAATAGAGATGTCCATGCAGACTCTAGTATAGTCCTCTTCACCAGACTTGTGGTAGGGTGGGAGTGCATAAATGTATCTTTGCTGTTGCCAAGAGCTCCTTAGAGCTAGAAAGACCTACTGGCTTGTATGCTAGTAAGAAGAAAAGAGTGTTTAGATGCACTGTTTCCATGGTGCAGTTCTAAGCAATTGCTGTCACGTTTCCTTCTGCTGTTTTGAAACTTAAGGTAGCACAAGAGAACTTTTTACTGGCTTATGCTATCCTTCCCTAGAATCATAGAGTTGGAAGAGACCTCGTGGGTCATCCAGTCCAACCTCCTGCAAAGAAGCAGGAAAATTGCATTCAATGAACCCCCGACAGATGGCCACTCAGCCTCTGCTTAAAAGCCTCCAAAGAAGGAGCCTCCACCACACTCCGGGGCAGAGAGTTCCACTGCTGAACAGCTCTCACAGTCAGGAAGTTCTTCCTCATGTTCAGGTGGAATCTCCTTTCCTGTAGTTTGAAGTCATTGTTCCGCATCCTAGTCTCCTGGGCAGCAGAAAACAAGCTTGCTCCCTCCTCCATGTGACTTCCCCTCACATATTTATACATGTCTCCTCTCAGCCTTCCCTTCTGAAGGCTAAACACGCCCAGCTCTTTAAGCTGCTCCTTATAGGGCTTGTTCTCCAGACTCTTGATTATTTTGGTCGCCCTCCTTTGGACACATTCCAGCTCGTCAATATCTCCCTTCATTTGTGGTGCCCAGAAGTGGACAAAGTATTCCAGAGGTGGTCTAACCCAGGCCTGTTGGAAAAAATCCGTTTACATGTTTGTACACAGGTGTGTACAAAATCACTCCTGATACAGATGGAAGGCAACATGCAATCTCGCCACAAAAGGCCTGGAGTTCTGAGCATGTGATTGCTTTAATCATTATCTTTGCTTTGTGGGGCCATAGGGTCATTTTTAAAATGGATCAAAATTTGTGAGGTGCGATTAGGCTTCTCGACTGACCCTTGAAAATGAATGGGCTGCTCATAGTTTAGAGTGGCCTAGATTTCACACAATGTAAAGAGTATGGTTGGGATCATTTATTTTTTGGGCTTCCACTTTTTTTCTGGATTTTGCTAGATTTAGCCTTCCAATATGTAAACAAAGCAGTGTGGGTTCACTGCACTGAAGAATTTTGTATCTCTTATCTTTTTTTCCTGAGTATACCAGCAAAATATTATTTGATACCAAACTCAGGGCTTCAAAATGTTAGATCCAGTTTGAACCTGGAACATTTACACTCAGGAGCTAAAGAGAAAAAAATCAAAATATTTTGACAGTCAAACATTTGCTATGCCATTTTCTATATCTTTGAATATTTGTAAGGTTATATGGCATTTGTATATTGCTTTTGCAACATTAAACAAGAAGCAAAATATCCAAATGTGGTGATGTAAAGGCTACCGCAGGCATGGGCAAACTCGGGCCCTCCAGATATTTTGGACTTCAACTCAATTCCTAACAGCCTACTGGCTGGGAGTTGAAATCCAAAACATCTGGAGGTCCCAAGTTTGCTCATGCCTGGACTACTGGCATGTAGTCCCTTGCCTGGACATTTCTTTTCAACCTTTCCTTTCTCCACAAGGGAAAGGAAAACTTAAGGGTGGGAGAGAGACTGTTCCTGAGGAATTCTGTCAGGCTGTTTGAATCTACTTTCACCAGATCACTCTTTCAAATGATAGTTCATTCTAATTGCTTCCCTTTTGTTGTATCTAGTACTGTGTGTGTTCCTTTTTGGGTTAGAGAAAAACCAGAAAAGCATGAAAAGCCATTTTCTAGTAAGCCATTTGATCAACTTTTGTATCTGTGAGTGGACAGGTGTTTATTGTACTACATTTTCAAATACATTTCTTTAATTTTTAGCTGCCCTTGTGAGATTGATTTATGTGTGTTGCTACATTTATTACCAGCTTCATGAAAGCCCTCGACAATACAGCTTCAGTATTACTTCTGGCATTACTAGACTTTCAAATCTTGAGCACCCGAACTTTTCCTTGTTAAGGCTGTAATCACGCAGTTCAGTGTTTGGCTAAACCAGTGGTTCTCAACCTTTATTTGACCAGGGACCACTTGACCAGAGACCACTTTGACCAGGCACATCTTGACCAGGCACCATTTTGACCAGGGACCACTTTGACCAGGGAACATTTTGACCAGGGACCACTTTGACAAGGGACCATTTTGACCATGGCCCACTTCAACCAGGGACCACTTGACCAGGAACCACTTTGACCAGAGACCACTTTGACCAGGGACCATTCTCCAACATCAGTACCAAAACGGTTACAAATCAGTTTTTGGTCAACTTTAGATTCAGTTTGGAGTGCTGATTCAGAAACTTGCATTGGATAGACCACATCAACTCTAGTTTCTGATACAAAACATCTGCCATGGTCAGCAACAGGGAAGGGATGGCAGGTGGAGTGAAAGGAGCAGAAATAAAATGAATATAATAAAATAAATAAAGAAGACGAAGGCTTGCAGACCAGATTTTCATCGTTACGGCCCACCGGTGGTCCGCTGCTCAAAGGTTAAGAACTACTGGGCTAAACACACATAGGGATTGTGCTGCAGAGGACCAAAAGGTTAAATTGTTTTAAAATGGGAGTACTATATATGTTTAGGCCACAATCTTATCTCCATTACTCAGTATATCTCTGAGCAGACATTTTATTTATTTATTTACTTACTTACTTACTTACTTACTTACTTACTTACTTACTTACTGTGTTTGTATTCCACCTTTCTCATCCAGAAGGGGACTCAGGCTGATCACAGAACATACATATGTGGCAAACAGTCAGTGCAATTTTATACACAAACAAGACAGACAATTCTACATAGTTAGAGGTATATATTGGCTTTTCCAATCATCTTGGAGGCTTTGTGCTCAGTTTTGGAGGGGGTGTGTGTGCTGTTGCTCCATGTCCTGCCAAAGAGCTTTGTTTGTAACTTCTTCCTTTGATTGAATTGCCTGCATTCCTTATGGGTGCCTCAGGATACCTCCCCACTTTAAAGCAGTACCTATTTATCTACTCACATTTTGCTTTCAAACTGCTAGGTAGGAAGAGGCTGGGCTAAAGGCCAGGAGCTCACCCTGACCCGGGCTTTGAACTAGCAGCCTTTCAACTGACAAGATTTACTGCAGCTGGTGATTTAACCTGCTGTGGATAGCCTATATGGATAGCCTACCAGCTTTGCATCATTTTTTAACTAAAGGATTACAGGGTGAAAATGCAACATAAGAGAGAGAGGGTAAAAAAGACATTTGGCAAGGTGGGAGGAGGATAAAAGTCAAGGAAATTGCAAACCTAGATTTCTAGAAAGTATCATTAAAGTTATTTACAGAAAATAGTCAAGTGTAACTACATATTAAACAACAAAGAACAAGTCTCGACATTTTTTATTTCTACGTATGGGTGTAAAAGCTGGATGAAGAATTCAACCTAATGTAATTTTGGAGAAGAGTTGAACAGAAACAATGGACAAAGGAAGAAGTCTTATATCAAATCAACTGTGAACTCTCACTAGAATAGGCATGGACAAACTTCGACCCACCA